GCCACCATCCCTACACAAAACACAACAGAAATAAGTTCTTGAACAAAAAAGGACAGCATTACTAATATAATATGATATGATATACCAGACTTTTTATCTGGCTGTGAAATATGTGTGTTTCCTGTCACCTATTGTGTGCGCATGTACAAAGATAGCGATTGCAGCAAATAAAGTACATTTTCAAAAGCTACAACCTGAACTTTTGTCGAAGCTCCTGTGCCAACTCTTCCATTATGGTGTGACAATCATCTTGGATTCCCCTAAAGGAGGGCAAGTGACTGTACTGCTGCAGCACACAGCGGGCACGGCGGTAGGAGCTTACTGCCTGAGCATAGGCCTGCAGTTCCAGACATTTGTTCAATCTTGCGGGGAGTTCAAAGAGAAACTGTAGCTTCCTTAACAAAGTGTGAACCCCTGGAAAAAAACAAAAAGAATTGCAAAAACACTTGCTTTTCTGTTACTAACCTTGTAAAATAAACACCATTCATAGTCTCACCTGAGAGTTTTGTAATCTGCGTGTGCTGATCCTGAAGGGTTCCACTGATACAAGCACTGAACTCTGTGATTGCGGCCATATTAGCAGATAGGCAGTCCATTTCATCCTCCATCTTTTTAAAGTCATTTTTCATCTTTCTTATGGTGTCTGGAAACAATAAGAAGAAGAATCAGTAGTTAGTATAGCTTAAAAAAATGCAGTTACATTTAACGGATCCTTGTTGGAGCACACTGTTCAACATTCTCTCACCTGTAGCAGATATAAATTTGTTGTAGTTTTCATACACCAATGTCTGCATGTCACTGTCCAAAGAACGGATCTGCTTCACCATACAGGTCTCTTGGTCCATCAGCTCTGCCAGAGAGCATTCTCTTCTTAGCTGTATTTGAGCAGGAGATGAAAGCCAGTCATATTTAACATAGAAACAACATAAAAACCAGCTAAGTGTTAAATATTGGTTTGGTTTAATGTGGCAATTTTTTTTTCATTTCGAAGGCTGATGACACATGTAGTATTTATAATAATATAATTACATTCCTGACATATTTTCAGCTTGATCTAATTTGGTTTTTGGTGACATGTGATTGTAAAATTAAGATTTAAGAAGCACTTTGGGGTTTGAGGTACTACAGGTAAAAAAAATCATACTACATAGAAAACAATGTTGTTTATACCTCAGAAAACGAATGTCATTGTACCCAAAAATACACATACATTTTTTAAATATTTTTAATTGTTAAAAAAAATCAACCAGAATCTGAACCAGATATCAAAATACTTTAATATGAATTTTATTAAAAATTCATATTAAATTTTAAAATGAATTAAAGTGCCACAAAAGGCAATACGTAGGCGCCATGTACAGCAAAGCTACAAAGCAAGAAACGACTCTTTTTTTTTTACATTTCTGTTAGCCAGTTCCATGTTATTATTCCTAAGGTGTTTTGGATTATCTGTATATACGTTGGCGTTTGTTTAAAAAAAAAAGGTCTTAGCTTCTAAAAGCAGTTTTTAGCTAATTTAACGACTGCAGAAATAAGAAGTACTCTCATTGAAGAGGCGCCACAACAGCACAGATTCCTGACCTTGTTCAGGTAATGCTCTGGATCAAAGTGAGGCCCGTTGATGTCGCAGGGGTCCATAGATTCTGTCTGCTGACCCTCCTTTCCCTCCTCGTTCAGCCCATAGTAAAGTTTCAGTAAGCCGTGCACCTTGCGCTTCCTGGCCGAGTTGCTGTCCTCCGGCACAGCCCCACCGTCCATTCTGAGCTCCAGCGGCAGGCTAACAAATCGACGATAAACACAGAGGACAAGTGTCAGCTCACAAACAACTATCACTCACTGCATGCGCGTTATATTGTGCACTCTGCGGTCAACAGGGTCGCTTCAGGCTAGCTATATGCTAACAATAACAGGCCTTTTCCTCAATAATGATTGAGAAAATGACAAATTATTCCCAAAGCTGTTGCAGCTGACTTTCTGCTTCCGTGTCTGTGTAGCCTATCACGTGTCGCAACGTCAGCACGTACGGTCACGTGACGCATTGGTCCATGACGTGGGAAAAGACGAGCACATTTCTAGTTATCATTGTCATTACTATTATTGTTGTTGTTAGGGCTACACAAACGGTGACAAAAACACAGTCAGTATTACCATAGGGACATTTTTACACAAATAATAACATAACTTATATTACAAATAATATAAGTAATAATAATTAAACAATCCATACAACATCCTTTTCCATAAAAACACAGCAGTGATGAAAGTGATGAAATTAGTTGTCAAATCGCTGATGAGTATGAATTAAATAAGAATTGGACTGTCGCAAGCTTCACTTCGTAATATTGTCAAATGATTTGACGAGTACTGGGAAAAAGTAAAAAGTAAAATGCAAAATATGTCCACAATAGAAAGATAAGCAGTTATTACACTACCTTATAGCAGAGGAGTGATGGATAAGACAGTATAGAAAGGTGAATTAAATCTGCAATACTAATACTTTAAAAAGGAGCCTTTAAATAAAACACATTATTATCATTACAGACACAACCACAACCTCTTTCCTTCAAAGAATTTTCCAGGATTTTTCAGCTGCTACAGCACAACAAACAAGTTTTCCTGCCATAAACAAGTCATAATTCCTCATTCTAATAAGTTTAAAAAAAACATTTCCGAATGAGGTTCAAGGCTCATGCCTTTACAGGAGATATATTTGCATATTGCTAGCTGCACCACTGACCCAAAATGTCTGGGGAAAAAGAGGGGTATGGTTACCCGGTCAAAACCACTGACTTGTAGTGTATTGAATCACAAAATACTTGTTGACATTGTATATATTTAATAAAACACGGTAATATCTTTAGACATTTTTTTTCTAATGTAGAACTACCATCCATCCAGTTTACTTAAGTCAGTGAGGAAAGGTGAAATGCATCAATTAATTCAAAACTAATAAAAATTTAAAAAAAAATACCACAATTTATGTTTTCCACTCACCAAATGTTATTCAGACTCCAACTAAAACAAAAGGCACTTTATGTTCCTGTAAAATGTAAATGCCGTATGAAGACGACATAAAAATGACCATATTCTTCATTGGGCTGTATCTACACTAACAAATAAATGAAAAAGTAAGTTAAAATACTATGTCAGAAGACAAATGATACAAAACCACTGGCAAAGGTAAGATTATTTAAAAAAACAAACAAACAGTGTATTAGTAGTAAAAGTGCATTTTCACATGATGTGTAGTCAAGTCGGAATGCCTATTCTACAATGTGACATGCATAGTGTGTACGGGGAACTATATTGTGCTGCTGCAGTTAGTACACAAACAGTTGCAGTTAAAAGTTAAAGTACGTAACATACAAATGAGTGACTGTGGCAGTTAAATGAACTTAGAAGGTAATTAAATCACTTTGAAATGAGGCCATACTGCAGTAACGTTGATATCTGTATAATTCTTTTGTTGTGATGGTTTGTTCAGTGAACATCAAATTCAAAATCTTCCTGTAGGGACTCAGGCCATTTCTCTGGCTCGTAAAAGTAGCACGCAGTTATTAAATTTGTTCTCGCTTACTCTTGCTATCAGATTCTTTTCCTAATTAATTATGTCAAGGTTTGGATATTTCTGCAATTAAATTATGTTCATAAAGAATTATTTCAATTGAAATCAAACGCCAAATGTGACATAAAAGGCGTCAACGTACACGCTGAAAATGTTCGTTACTGCAACACACAGAAAATGCTGTTTAATCTGAAATGTTTCTCATAGAAAATATTTTACTCACAAGAAAGCCCCACAACACAGCCACTCTGCTCCCATATGAACCGTTATCTGATCAGTAACACCAAGCAATAAATAATAATAATAAAAAAAAAAAAAAAAAATCTACCAGCACTTTAATAAAGTGTTTTTTTTTTTTTACGGCTTTCGCGTGAACAAGGCACTGGCAGTTAAGAAAAGCAGAATAGGAAAAATACGCCCTTAAAGATTAACCCCTGAAAGTGTTTGTCATGCTGACTGAGAAGTTGTGATCTCTCTCACAGATCTGATAAGTAGTGTTATGTTATTGGACCATT